ACTTAGCATTTCCACTAATTCAAGTACGCTTAATTCTTTTATCTGTTATATGGAACATAAACTGCATTCTTTTGTGGGGGAAGGAATATATAATACATATATAATTATACAAACGATGAAACGATCACAAGCACTGACAAGGTTAGTTTGTAAACAGTTAAATTTGTTGATTTGGTCTTATTCATAAACCTACAAAGTGGTCAGTGGAGCTTTGCGCGTTGCTATCTACCGTTTAATATCTACATTGCTATTGAAATTGAATGTTTGGTTGGAAATGAAAACTTTTTGGATGCAAATTTGAATTTCCAAATTTTCATATGAATTGCATACTGCAATGATATAATTAAAATATGCAAGAACAACTTCATTATAAATACGCAATATATTTTAAATTTTCTATATTCAGTTCATTGTATTTACAGCTACCTAATATATCAGTATAAATCTAACAATTTTGCTCCATTTGATACATACATATTAAGCTTATTTTGCAATATATATTTGTCATAGTTCATGGTAACAGCTTTTCATTATTGAATCAGATTACCCCTGAACAATGCACTACACTTTTGTTGTCCCAAATTACCAAATATAATATAATTTTGCTTGTAAGTAAAATTGTATAGAAAATGAAAATATTTTAGTGTATAATTTGTACCTTAATTAACTCAGATTATAATTAAACAGTTACCATTCTCACCCAAGGTTTTAATGAATGGAGGCTGATTAAAAATATACAATAATAATCTGTAAGTAACTAACAGTTGCAATTAATTAAAATCTTGGCTCTTTGAGAACAACTTTGTGTTGGGATGGAATTTTGGAATATACCCTAGGTCTTGTTTAGAAAAGTATAATTTCCAACCAGCATTTACTTTTACAAATAATTTATTCAAATAAGAATGCTTTAGAAATTGTGTAGGGAAATTAAACCTAGCTGTGGTTTTCTAGCCTAGCATGATTCAATATGAAAAGCTTTTACTATGAACTATGACTATATAGTGCAAAATAATGTATTAAGTGTTAGCAAAATTAATTGTTGTTTGCATAATTATATATGTATTATATATTCCTTCAATCCTTCCTCCACAAAATAATTCAGTTTATGTTCCATATAACTGATAAAAGAATTAAGATATGTTGTTAAATTTTGGAATATTACCAGTATATTGTATCTGCTGCTACTTAATATAAATCTACTGTACAGTATGTAAACAACAATAGGATATATTCCAAAATTCCATCCCAACACAAAGTTGTTCTCAAAGAGCCAAGATTTTAATTAATTGCAACTGTTAGTTACTTACAGATTATTATTGTATATTTTTAATCAGCCTCCAGTCATTAAAACCTTGGGTGAGAATGGTAACTGTTTAATTATAATCTGAGTTAATTAATTAAGGTACAAATTATGCACTAAAATATTTTCATTTTCTATACAATTTTACTTACAAGCAAAATTATATTATATTTGGGACAACAAAAGTGTAGTGCATTGTTCAGGGGTAATCTGATTCAATAATGAAAAGCTGTTACCATGAACTATGACAAATATATATTGCAAAATAAGCTTAATATGTATGTATCAAATGGAGCAAAATTGTTGTTCGCATAGATTTATACTGATATATTAGGTAGCTGTAAATACAATGAACTGAATATAGAAAATATGAAATATATTGCGTATTTATAATGAAGTTGTTCTTGCATATTTTAATTATATCATTGCAGTATGCAATTCATATGAAAATTTGGAAATTCAAATTTGCATCCAAAAAGTTTTCATTTCCAACCAAACATTCAATTTCAATAGCAATGTAGATATTAAACGGTAGATAGCAACGCGCAAAGCTCCACTGACCACTTTGTAGGTTTATGAATAAGACCAAATCAACAAATTTAACTGTTTACAAACTAACCTTGTCAGTGCTTGTGATCGTTTCATCGTTTGTATAATTATATATGTATTATATATTCCTTCCCCCACAAAAGAATGCAGTTTATGTTCCATATAACAGATAAAAGAATTAAGCGTACTTGAATTAGTGGAAATGCTAAGTTTGGCTGCGAAATTTGGTAAAATACGGAAAACATAGCCATGTCAAATTAGCATATTTTGTATTACGCGCGGAAATTGTAACTAATTTAGTTACAAACTTTTCTCATTCCTGGTTTTACAGATTACGGCTTTTCTCATTCCTGGTTTTACAGATTCCGGCTTTTCCCATTCCTGGTTTTACAGATTCCGGCTTTTCTCATTCCTTGTTTTACAGATTCAGGCTTTTCTCATTCCTGGTTTTACAGATTCCGGCTTTTCTCATTCCTTGTTTTACAGATTCCGGCTTTTCCCATTCCTGGTTTTACAGATTCCGGCTTTTCTCATTCCTTGTTTTACAGATTCCGGCTTTTCTCATTCCTGGTTTTACAGATTCCGGCTTTTCCCATTCCTGGTTTTACAGATTCCGGCCTTTCCCATTCCTGGTTTTACAGATTCCGGCTTTTCTCATTCCTTGTTTTACAGATTCCGGCTTTTCCCATTCCTTGTTTTACCGTTCCCCGTTCCTTTCCTCATTCCTTTCCCCGATTCCCCGTTCCTTGTTTTACAGATAGCCAAATGTGGGTTACATCGATAGTGTATAAACAAACGCTTTGTTTATATATTGGATCGCTATTATCACTTGAAGTAATATCACTTGAAATATGCTGTCCTGTCGGAATATTTATTAATTAACGGTTTGCTTTTGACCTTACGAGTTTAATTCCAGCTGCGCTTTGGAATTGTTTTCTTGCAACTTGCGATGCAATTCTACTTTGTCTTTGATGAGAGATGTAAATTACTGAAGAATCTCCAGAATGTAAGCGTATAATATTATAAGAAACGTCCATGGAGTGTACTAATCACAAAAGTTCGGTAGTTGCCGCCAAAAATCTCAACATAAAAATGATTAAGTAAGTCCGTCTCCGTACACAAAGATTATATTAAATGCCACGAAGATATGCCCGCCCACCTCTTATATCAAATATGTCAAACCATTTGCTTTTGCAATTCACCTTACGAGTTTGATTCCAGCTGCGCTTTGGAATTAGATTCCAACCGTAAATGAAATAGTTTGCATATGCCTTCTATAATCGTGAGAAACAGTCATTTAAAACGAACACTCCTTTGTGTTGTAGCTTTTGCTCCATTTTATGTTGAAGCGTCGGTAGGGGTCGCTTACCGTCTTAATTTCACCAACCCTTCATCCAGTTCAGGGTGTGCCATTCGTGAAGAAGGGTTAAACTGCTGCGGCAAGTATATTTTTACTGCGCTTGGAATTGCAGCGCTTTTCATGCGACGACGACAGCCAGTGCGCCGGGGGTTGCATCACTTGCATGCTGTTCCAGTATGGGTAACTGCACGGAAGAGTTGCAGTACACCGACCGCCAAGCTAAGATGTTTGGGTGTGATTTGGTATGCTGTGGCAAGTATTAATATGCTTGCGCCAAGAACTTCAGTGGGTACCCATGCGACGACAACAGCCAGTGTGGCCGTGGTTGCTGTTCCGATTGTCGTAAAGCCCGCCGCACACGTGAACTATTAACTTAGCTAAAGACCACGCGTGGCTGTGAGATCAGCAAGTTACTCTTGTGTGCGGATAGTTTTTCGTGCATGAGGAATTCACCTTGAGAGGCAAGTTTCTCACGTGTGCGGATGGTTTTCGAGCTGAGCTAACTGCCTCGCGAGGTTGTTAGCTCAGCTGATAAATCTCGTGTGCGGCGGGCTTAACTGTACGATGAATTGCAATACACCGACCGCGAAGCCAAAATGTTTTGGATGTGTGTGAGTCCATATGCTGTGGCAAGTATTATGCCTGCGCTAAGAACTGCAGTGACTACCCATGCGACGACGACAGCCAATGGGGCGGGGGTTGCTCTTCCAGTAGTGGTAACTGCACAGAAAACTGCAGTATAGCCTCGTAGCAGGCGGCTCCGCGCTGGTGCACCTGCAAATGTGTTAGCGATCGTCGCAAGCGGAAGAAAGAGCCGACAAACGTGGTCGTCAACATGTACGGCATTATGTTGATTGCCACATATAAAATTGCCTCGGTATGAGAGATCTATAATGCTCGCTGCCTGATATAAAGGCCTATATATGTAATTATAAACTTATCCTTATGTCAAAATGCAGATTACGTTTTCAACCATTTTGACATTTTTATAAGCCATAATATTGTGAATACGGTGAATAAACGAATCGGCTCATCTTGAATATTCTAAGGCCTGCTACACGAAGCGAGTTATTCCGGCTAGGTGAAGTAAAAAGCGCATCACATAAAAGGCTTAACCTGATAAGTCTTTCATTATATGCAGTTTTCACCTCGCCTAGCCGGGGTAACTCGTTCCATTTAAATAGGCCCTAATTCGCTGCAATTCATCCCCAGCTGCCTAAAGCGAGTCTTTAATTTATCCAAAACATAATTTTCGTTCCATTTGGGAGTAAATTGCGTCCTAATCCTGCGTGAGGTAACAAAACCATAGAAATTTACATGGAAGTGCTTCACTCGGTGGCAACACAAATGACAAATTAATGATGTTTAAACCATCACCGTGTGCATGCAATCAAGAAAACATCTTTATGCCCCGAAATTTACGAAACAAGTTAAAAGAACGTCTGCTTCAACACAATCGTGGATATTATTAGCCTACTCATTTGTAGACATTTAAATGATTACACAGTCATTGATTACAATGATTACAATGATTACACGAATATATGCATGCGAACATGCATAAAGATTTCACTTGGAGAAGTTTCAAAAGTCCTACTCCATGTAATAGGACTTTTAATAATAGGACTGGTATACCAAACCTTTCTCAATTCTCATTCGAAATGGAAAAAAAATCATTTGAATCATTAACAAAAAATCAATTAATTATAAATTCAAACGCAGCGTGCATCAATAACGTAAAAGATTATTAATATCGTAAAGACAAACATGCGGACAAAAAGCGTTATGCGTTTTTGCATTTATAGCATCCTACTGTATACAATTAATGAAAATTAACGTAACAAGTAAAATATGAAAACAATATTTGGCTATACCAAACTCTAAAGCATTCATTATACCTAACTCTTTCAAGTTTCAAAGCGTCAACATATCGGTGTTCTGGCAGAATAATTCTACAGGCTCGTTTTTGGAGTCTTTCTAGTTCGTCAGAGAGGTATTTTGAGAGAGAATCGTGCAACACCTCATGCACACGCGTACGTATTCAGTAACAGGCCGGATACATGCATGTGGTGTAGAACAGAAGAAGGTCTTTCTGTTGGACTTTAGCAGGTTTCAATTGACGTAAAAAGTATAAACGAGGTGAAACCTTTTTACAGATGTACTTAGTGTGTGAGTTCCATTTGAGGTCATTTGTGATGGTGAGACCCCGTAGTTTTACCTGCGATACAACTTCAATTTTTTATCGTTATTAATAACATGGTCAAATTCCATTTTTTGTGGGGAAACAAAGTTAGATTCTTTCAGTTGCATAACGTTATTTGCAGATTTGCAGATCTACAACTTCAGACATCGCAGAATCGTCTACATATTTCCAAAAATCATCATTACCGGTCACATTAAGACCATTTATCATGACCAAAAACAACCATGGCTCAAGCTTAGTTCCTTGCGGTACTCCAGCCAGGATCGTTTTCCATTCGGAAACACAATCATTGGTCAGTTTAACTCTTAGCCTACGATGAGTTATAAAATCTAGAATCCAATATAAGGTAGGCGGGGGGATATCATTGTTACCAATGATCGTCATCATATCCAATGCTTTCCGAAAATCGAAAAGCATGACCGTTGTAGAACCATTGGCATCAGTGCTTTTGTTACAGGAGTGTAACATACTGATCCCCTAAGGCACACGTCGTACTTGAATTTGGGATTGTTCCAAATTGTTTTTAAATCATGTGCACAAAAAATCACATGCACGGGAATCTGCCACTAGCCAAAAAAACCCGCGACCCGCGAATTATACCCACGATCCGCGAAAAAAACCCGCGACCCGCAAAAAAAAACCGCGACCCCCGAAAAAAACCCCGCGACAATTAGATTATCTCCATGAAATCATGCATGTTTCTAAATTAAAGAATTATGTAATATACACGAAAAAGCAAAACATTTAAAAAAGAAAGAAAGAATTTGTGCTTTAGATTTAGGGTGTACTCATTCATATTTCAATATCACAATTCAATTGCGAACCCGTCTCGTTTCTCGACGAACAAAGAAATTATCGAAACCGACCTCTTGTTGATGTCGTTGTTTTGGTTGCGGATTTTCTGCAACGATGATCCTCAATATCCAAAGTGGTATTCTTACACACAAGAGACTGCACGCGAATATGAAGTGCTTTAATTGATCGTGGATCCAAAGAATGCCCGAAGGCATTCCAATTGAAGATCTCACAGTCTTTGAAAGATCCCATATACCTTCGCATACTGTGTATTAAATGAAACGAAGTAATGTTTGTTGGCTTTACTCCAAAATCTCGCATGGCAACCCCAACGTACGCATCATCTGTGTGGAATGGTTTTCGTATATAGACATAGTTAAACAATTTGTTTAGAAGATCAGTGGATAAGATAAAAAATGCCCCGAGATGAAACGTTGGGAATAGTGCTTCTTCATAGTACTTGTAACTAATGGCCGATTTTACACCAACTCTACGACTTACAGGGCTGGGTGCCCGAGAAAAACCTCCGTAGAAGGGTCTTGGAAGTTTAGCATTCACAAGATACTCCAACACGCGAGGTATACGCACATAAACATCATCGTCTGTTTTCATGGTATATTTTACATCAAATTTGTTCGCCCAAAGATGACCCATGTAGAATTTGATAATGTTATTAATGTAATTGTCAGTGATATTGCCTATCAACATATCATTGTACCGTCTGGCTTCAGCTTCATTTAATTCATCGTCACGTGTTCCTGGTCCTGCTTTTCCAAGAACAAACAGCAACAACCATCTTAGGTCTTTCAGTTTTCCATTTCTCAATGCGTTAAGTTGTTCGCAATTACCCGTACTTCCCCATGTTTCACGAATAGCTTCGCGACGTTTGCGGTACTTGACTCCCTTTGCGGCAGAATTGACTAATATTATCATAAATATGTTCCGCGTTTCGTTAAATTTTGGCGAAATGTCAGGATAAACGAATCTAAAATCCACAAAAGGATAGTAATCGTTGACCATGTCAATCGGCGACTTTTTTGGTTTTGCGGCATTTAATGAGACTTCGCTTGTGTTTAACTTCTTAGAGGAAGATTGAGTCGCTCTTGGCGGTCTTGGTGAAGTGGATTGGCGTTTAAAATCGTTGAAAAGAGACGATAGCATAGAATGAAACGAAAGTATTAAGACGATCAATAACACGAACTTCTTTTTGTGTCGCTTCAAAGACACCATAACGCTAGACATTCAAGAACACCAAGCAAACCATATAAACATGTGAATTACAAAGATCATTTTATATAATTGTACATGCGTTGGAACGTGGTTATGTCAGATTGAGCGTGGCTTTCATTATCTGGCGGGTCTTCTGTATACCAAGGTAGTTTGCCATTAAATTTATGTGGTATGAATCATCGTATAGCGTTATCAATCGACTCCGAGTTAATGGTAGATAATTTCCCAAATTGCAATGTCAGAAGTAAACGTGGATAGCTATCACAGCATGGCATAAAATAACATTGAATTAGAACTGCGTCAAGCTCACACAAACTTCTGATTAATTAATATTCGACTGCATAACAATTCTTTGACGGTCTTTTGTATACCAATTAAGGTAGTTTGCCATAAATTTTTTTTGTGGCGTCAATCGTCGTATAGTGATATGAATTAACTCCGAGTTTTTTACACCAGGATCGAGTTTGCCTGGATAGAATATTCATGCAGTATTGGTATTGGGCTAGCCTCCTCCGCCGGCATCTCTTATGTATTAGAAATATGCATAGTTGGCTTGGTCTAGCTGTGTCGCGGGGGGCGAAAAAAAAATCACAGCTACCCCATGCCTAATTACCTAAAATAATTTAATACGTAAGAGATGCCTGCAGAGGAGGCTAGTATTGGGCATTGCGCATATATGTAATGATCTCAATGAAGGAGCAATGAGCAAATTTATTTGTTTATGAGCAAACATGCCCATGCATAACTAAATTATTAAGCAGTCGATATCACTATATAATGATTCATAATACCACATAAATTTAATTAGCAAACTACCTTGGTATACAGAAGACTCTGGAAATAATGTAGCTAGGACATTCCTGAATGAATGAACTCCTAAGGTCAATATCGACCACCAGCAGACAACTTAATTAAAAAATTTAAGTAAAAACTTATTCCTGTTGTTATTCTATGCAATGTGATAAATGGCCTGCTGATTTTGATCTATAGCCAGCATAGCTATTTAGGCCCCCTTTACACGAGCCCGGGTTGGCTGCCAACCCGGGTTGGCTCACCAACCCGGGTCAACCCGTCTGCGAATAAATTACTAGTTGCGTTTACATGATAGCCGGGTTGGGACTTCACACCTCGCCAACCCGGGTAACCCTTCTCGAGACCCGGGTTGACCCGGGTTGGCTAGGTGTAAAGGTGTGAAAATTGTGCTGAATTCCTCATGTAAACACGGGTTGGCTTGACCCGGGCTCGTGTAAAATGCGGCTGGACTTTGGAAGCAAATATCCTGTCACACACGCATATCATATTGCATTTAGCGCGCGTAACTTCTCTCCGCTAGTATGGCAAGCAGAAGTAAAGCCGCTCGAACGGACAAAAATGTCGCAAAAAAAACCCAACAGCCTCAGTTTCAGTGGTCGCCCAAAATGGTCGAACACTTGATATTGTGTTTGAAACAATATAAGTCCGAGATGGACTACAAGAACGTAGACTTTAACTCGGATGTTGTGGCCATGTATTCCAGACTGCGAGAAGACATGGCGCTAGCTTTTGACGCAGAATATTTTGGGCCATGTGATGTTCCCATTCAAGATAGCGACATAGAGCTAACGAAGGAAGAAGAAACTGCGTTTCTGGCGGAAGTAACGAAAGCCAAATCCCTAATATCCAAGGGATATAACCGAATAAAAGAAAAAATTCGGCAAATCCGGAAGGCGTACAATAACGCCGTTACCAATGGCACGAGATCTGGGTCAGGAAGAGTTGTTCAGGAATATTATGATGAATTGGCCCAGATTTGGAAAGGAAGCCCTGCAACGGAGCAACTTCAGTTTGGTATAAGCTCCAACACCACTGAAAGTACTAGCACATGCACCACACCCAACAGGGCCAGCACTAGTAGCACATCACCCTCCACTGCATCCAACACACCATCACCTGAGGCAGATCTTGATACATCACAAGACACTATCGAAGGCACTCTACTAGATGGTGAAAGCGATGAAGAAAACGATTTTGGTATGTAGAATTGTGAGATTTGTCAAATATTCCCCAGTGACTAGTAAAATTGTCTGGCATTTGTCAAAGAAAAATAAGCAGGGTGTACTGGAGTGCATAGAGATTTAATGGGTCACCCATTAAGCTGCAATGCGCCCCAGTGCACCTTACTTATTTTTTAACAAATGCCAGATATTTAACTTGTCAATGGGGAAGCTCTTGAGCTAAAATTTTCCCTTCATAAGTACACTTTGTAGCTTATGATTTTCTCCTGTTAACCCCATGCCATATTTATTTAGAACAGGCACCTGAGCCAAGAAAAAGGCCACTGTCATCAACAGCAAGAATAGTGGACAATAAACGAAAGCATCTTGAGAAACCACTTTCTGCTGCAAAAAGAGATGAAGTTCTTCTCCGTGCAACAAAAGAAGATATTGCCTTAAAGAAGCAGCATATGACAAACATGCAAGAAAGTCAAAATGCCCTGATGGAAATGGCAAAATCTATGTCAGCATCACTTAACACACTTGGGAAAAATGTTAGTGATGGCCTTGGTCTATTGGCAATGGCTCTGAACCCAAATGTGATGCAAATGGCCCATACATTTGGAAATAGGCCCAATAACCCTCACCCGCCCATCAATCAACCAGGATCACAAGAATTTTATCCCCCCAATTTCCCTAATCAACAGGAAATGCATGTGCCGCAGCAGCCTTATATGGGACAACAGCAAATAAGTCATGCGAACACATCTAGAATGCCAGCTGGCAGTAATGATGAAGCAAACTTCATGCAGCAAAGGTTTCAGTATGGACAAAACAACTTGCCAAGTTCAAATGGAAAGACATATGAACAATTATAGATGGAAACATACGAAACATTTTTAACTGCTAATATCGCTAGCCAATTCTATTCTATTTCATTTGCACACATTTTATTACTTCACATGTTATTAGTTTGCATAATCTTGGAAAGTTTAGTTCATTAAATCACATTGAGGGGAGTCACTGAGGGCACAAGGGAATAATTGTAATAATTAGGTACATTAAGAATGAATTTAAATATTTATTAAAATACAAGTTACTAATTCTACAATTTGAATATTTTACCAGACAGTGTATGAAAGGTCTTTTGTGCATGTGCAAGGTACCAAGATTTATTACAAAAAGGACTAACTATAGAAGTGCAATAATTTCATTGTGCCTACAACAAAGTTACATGTGCTATTTCCCAGACAAGTATAGTATGGTAGATGATCTATACCAGACTAGCCATAAAAACAAGTTGAACCAACAATTCTAAAAAAAAACTTTTAAAAATATGACAATTTCAATTTTTCAGGCAATCACTTTATAAGTTGTCATGGCTAGCAATGCTAAGTATAGATAATACTCAATACCCATGTACCTGATATTAGGCCCTAAGATAAATATTCTTTTAAATACTGAGTTATGATTTCACGAAATGCAGTGCCTGTTGCAGTGTTGTAGGAATATGACCGATCAGGCCTGGAGTGGTGTGCACAACAGCTATCAACAATGTTCATTTGCATTTGATGTTCCACATCTCCGATGATTGGGCATGCCTTAAGTTCACAAAAATTATGCAATACAAAACAAGCATGTACAAGTGTTGGAACATCTTCCAATTTTATATTTATAGGGCGATTTAAAATTTGCCATCTTGCCTTCAATCTGCCAAAAGCACACTCAATTTGATTCCGGCCACTCCGCAACACTTGGTTGAAAATAGCTTTCTCATTATAGGCATCCTCAACATATTCTTTCATCACATTGGGTAAGAGGGGGTAGGCAGGGTCTCCAAGAACTAATGGTGGAATTCTATCTGTCCCTGGAAGAACAGATCGGTATACCATTGGGAGGGTTTTTCCTGTGAACATCTTGTTCAAATTGGAGTTCGCATATACTCGGGCATCGTGAACACTTCCAGGCCACTTGATTTCAACATCAAGAAATATGCCTCTGTAGTTACAAAGTGCTTGAACATTCAGACTGTGTTTCATTTTATAACAGAAATAGTCCTGACTGTTTTCAGTTGGTTGTCGAATGGGAATATGCGTACCATCCAGACAGCCAAATGTCTGGGGAAAACCAAATCGTGACTCAAAATGTGCAATAAGTTGTTTCATTTCATCGACAGTTTTGGGCAACTTTAAGTATTGAGGGCCAACCACTTCACTGATGCATGAGCAAACTGCTTTAACAGTTTTAGACAAGCAAGGCAGCGACACACCAAAGTTGTTGCAAGTCATCCGGTACATTCCTTGATCTTTTAAATAGTACAAGGTCATTGCAACCTTTTTCTCCACACTCAATGCATCTCCACGAAAATTACCAGTCTTCATTTCAAGGTTTGGCCGCATCATTTCCACTAGCTCCAAAAACGTTTCCCTATTCATCCGCAAATTTAGGTGCCATTCGTTTTCTAGTAACTTGCCACTCCACAAGTTTTCCCACCAAATATCTGTTCGGCCAGGATTTATCCAACGACGTCGCCTTCTTCGAATAATTCTTCTCTTCAACATTTTCAACATTCGAATACTCTTCATTGTATCTAACATTACCATATTTTGAGCAGCCGCAATCTGCTGTTGTTGTTGGATAATGAACAACAGCATCACACCGTGCATTTGTATGGCTGCTAAAAGCAGAAGCAAAACTGCACAGGCAGAAACAATAACTTTTCTTCGTTTATCGCCAGTGTTGTCATTGTCCGCCATTTTACTTCGCAGTTTCGCCGTTCGCGCCAATTTACACTCTGCTCCAGGCTATGACTCGGAAATATTTCCCTAGCCAACCCGGGTTGGGAATTGCTGACCCGGGTTGGCGAGAATGGTCTTCAACCCGGGTCCGTGTAAACACGATAAAAATATAACCACCTGTGGCGCACCAACCCGGGTTGAAAATCAGTCCGGGCTCGTGTAAATGGGGCCTTACAGATTCAACGACAGTATTGATACAAGTTTGTGTTATAAGCCAGTGAGACGGACCAGTATTTTCAGAACTGCATGATGACAGCTTTTTTAAGATTTTTACATCATTTTTGAGTTGTGCCGGGATATTTTACGTTTGGTCAATAGCGTATCTAAGATAAGGTGTTTAAAAATTCGTTATGCAGTCGAATATTAATTAATGAGAAGTTTGTGTGAGCTTGACGCAGTTCTAATTCAATGTTATTTTATGCCATGCTGTGATATAGCTATCAACGTTTACTTCTGACATTGCAATTTGGGAAATTATCTACCATTAACTCGGAGTCGATTGACAACGCTATACGATGATTCATACCACATAAATTTAATGGCAAACTACCTTGGTATATACAGAAGACCCGCCAGATAATGAAAGCCACGCTCAATCTGACATAACCACGTTCCAATTACGCATGTACAATATATTGGAGTACCTTGTGAATGCTAAACTTTCAAGACCCTTATACGGAGGTTCTTGTAACCCACCTGGTCCTGTAAGTCGTATTGTTGGCAACAAATGGGGAATTAGTTACAAGTGCTATGAAGAAAAGCGATTCCCACCGTATAATTCCGGGGCATTTACTATCGTATCGACTGATCTTCTAAAAAAATTGTTTAACTATGTCCATATACGAAAACCATTCCATATGCATAGATGATGCGTACGTAATTGGTGTTGCAATGCGAGATTTTGAGGTAAAGCCAACTAACATTACTTCGATTTATTTAATAAAGAGTATGCGAAGGTATATGGGATCTTTCAAAGACTGTGAGATCTTCAGTTGGAATGCTTTCGACATTCTTTGAATCCACGATCAATTAAAGAACTTCATCTTCGCGTGCAGACTCTTGTGTCTAAGAATATCACTTTGGATATTGAGGATCATCGTTGCAGAAATAATACAAATTAATTTGTGGCATTTGACTTAGGTTCGACAGTATATGCTATATTGTTATACCATCTTCATGCATTGGCCTAAATCTACTCCCGCGCGATTGATCAAAATCAATCACGTGGTTTTTTGTTGCCTGACGACATATCATGCATGGGAATCATAATTTATTCGCAATAAAATCGTGGTTTATTCGCAATAGCCCATGCATGAAAATCATGGTTTACTCAAAAATGACAGCCTGCAAGGAAGCTTGGATCTTGAATGTAGCAATCAATGAACTCAGATTGTATATTAAAAGTGTTTGAGACTTTATGTTCGTGTTTTGTTCAGTGACAAATAAACGCTCTTGCTGACCATACAATGTATGGAAACTAAAAAAATATCGCTTTGGGGGTTGTTATCGACAAAGGTTCTCACGAGTTGTCGCCGCTGCGTGTTAACCCAATGCATGGCTTTTATCCTTTTATAATTACCAGTATATGAATATAAATCTAAAGTGACCATCTCTTAGAATTTTATATAAAGTCAAAAAGCGACGAAATTTGCGAAACAATCCGTTTAGCGATGCTGCATGTTTGCGCCGTGTACTACAGCACAGGTATAGTAAAGTTATTATTAGCGTAAAGCATTCGAATAATGACTAACAATAATAATATGGGATTTATTGTTTAACACCTTTGCCGCTGCAGCAGGAATTTACTTTGACACGGTGGTCGTGTCTACCCCACAAGTTTGTATGGTTAATGATGTCGGATCGTGAGAGAATCCGTACGGCTTGTACTCTCACGAGTCAGGAGTTGTGCTCACTGGATACGAATCCTAAAACCTCAAATCTTTGTGGTGTAAGACTATGAACGTAAATCTCAAATGGCGATCTTTCAGAATTTTATTCAAAGTCAAATCAGCGGAAAAATCTCGGCGATGAAAAGCGTACTGCAAATGGTCGCTCGTCGATTTGAGCCGCTTTGTGTACACTTGTTTGACGGTGTTGTTTCCGTAGCATATTACAGATAGAAGACTATGCTCAGAAAAGGGTGGAGGCAAATTCCCGCCAGCACCTGTATTATACGCCTACTAAAATCGCGAATTGAGATATAACGGTCCTCTCTCTATATGTATATACATGTATATACTGTTGACTCAATACTTCTAAATTAGGTTTTGAATAGGCGCCGCTTCCAACGCAGCTGAACACGGGCACTCGGATTACCAAATTCGAACGAAGGGGCGTTGGATATATATATCAGCTACTGTAAATCATGCAACGTATGTATTTGCATGAGGAATGCGTTCGATTTCCAACGCCCCTTCGTTCGAATTTGGGCATCCGAGTGCCCGTGTTCAGCTGCGTTGGAAGCGACGCCTACTCAAAATGAATGAGACTTAATTTAGAAGTATTGAGTCCACAGAAGCCTTTCTAAGAAGATAGGCAAACTTGTCATACGAGACTGGAATACAGTTGTGATAGAAAATAGCTCCGGGTTGGGTACTTCGCAATATCATGTAATGCTCTAATAAGTGAACAGGACAACATGCCGTTTGCCTTTAAATTTCCAAACTAAAAGGTCTATTGTTAAAATTGTGCTTGAAGTCCTCGAAAATCAACGTAAGCTTACAACCCGGCCATCATCAGAATATATTTTGGAGAGTCGTCGCAATTGAAGGGACTAGTTATTTGACTTTTAGTTATTTCTCTAATTCTCAGAAACGCAAAAAATTCTAAAAAGCACATTGCCTGGAATTGACAGATTTGGTACGGTGACCCAGCGATAGTCATCGATAGTCATCGAGGTTACCCTGTATGCGATATTGGTATTACGCATATTTGTAATGATACCGCTTGAATATCTTTTTCCGATGGCCATCGTAGCGTAAAAAACCCAAAGTCGATTGATATCACTACGACGATTCATACGACAAAAATTTAATGACAAACTATACAACAAAACCGCCAAGTATGAAAGCCATGCCCAGTCTGATATAGCCCGGTTGCCAGCCTCGTACCCAGGCGCTTTGAAAGCTTTGAAAATGCGTGCGTGGGCGTAGCGCAGCTGCGTGGCTGTTACCGGGCTGATGACGGGGAAAAGCTTCCCTGCGATTTTTTCAAAGCGCCTGGGTACGAGGCTGCCCGGTTGCGACGTATACAATAATATATAGGAATCTTTGTAATTCATATGCCTCGTGTTCTTGCTGTTCTTGGAAGTGCTTCGTTATGATGTTTTTAAAGCGACACAAAAAGAAGTTCGTGTTATTGATCTTCTTAATATTTTCGTTTCATTCTATGCTACCGTATATTTTTAACAATTTTGAACGCGAATCCACTTCGACAAGACCGCCAAGAGCGATTAATTCTTCTCAGTCTATGAAGTTAAAGACGAACGAAGTCTTATTAAAAGCCGCAAAACCAAATAAATCACGGATTGACATGGTCAACGACTATTATCCATTTGTGGATTTTAGATTCGTTTATCCCGAAATTTCGCCGAAAGTTGACGAAACGCGGAAAATATTTATGATAATATTAGTCAATTCTGGCGCAAAGGGAATCAAATTCCGCCAACGCCGCGAAGCTATCCGTCAAACATGGGGAAGTACGGGTAATTGCGAACAACTTAACGCATTGGGAGATGGAAAACTGAAAGACCTAAGATGGTTGTTGGTGTTTGTTGTTGGAAAAGCAGGACCAGGAACACGTGACGATGAATTAAATGAAGCTGAAGCTAGACGGTACAATGATATGTTGATAGGCAATATCACTGACAACTACATTAATAACATTATCAAATTCTACATGGGTCATTTTTGGGCGAACAAATTTGATGTAAAATATACAATGAAAACAGATGATGATGTTTATGTGCGTATACCTCGCGTGTTGGAGTATCTTGTGAATGCTAAACTTCCAAGACCCTTCTACGGAGGTTCTTCTCTGGCACCCAGTCATGTAAGTCGTACAATCGGTGCAAAATGGGCAGTTAGTTACAAGTACTATGAAGAGGCACTATTCCCAACGTTTAATTTCGGGGCATTTTTTATCTTATCCACTGATCTTCTAAACAAATTGTTTAACTATGTCTATATACGAAAACCATTCCACACAGATGATGCGTACGTTGGGGTTGCCATGAAAGACTTTGAGGTAAAGCCAACTAACATTACTTCGTTTCATTTAATAAAGAGAATGCGAAGGTATGTAGCATCTTTCAAAGACTGTGAGATTTTCAGTTGGAATGCTTTCGGGCATTCTTTGGATCCACGATCAATGAAAGAACTTCATCTTCGCGTGCAGAATCTTGTGTGTAAAAATATCACTTTGGATATTGAGGATCATCGTTGCGGAAAATCCGCAGTTAAAACAACGACATCAACAAGGGGTCGGTTTCGATAAGTCTGCGAACAAAGACATAAATAAGACACGAAACGAGCATATGCATATAATTATACACACAATTATATATGTCGTATATTAATTATATATTAATTATTTAAGAGAATTGATCACTCAGTTCTCTTTTATGAAATTATATATATAGTCTCCGTTAAATATTGCTAAGGACATCTATTTATTATATCTCCACCAATTTTTCGTGCTTATTGGTTATTACCTAATAAATAGCATGCAAGCGTTTCTCCAAGCTGGCAACTTGGCGTAGGCGTAGCTTTACTATAGCCGGTTTTCCACTAGCGATATTTTTCGCCCGAAGGCATTAACTGACAGTCTGCAGCACATACAAGTATAAAATTTACTCGCGAACTATTAGCTCCAGAAATAAGTTTTTATCACCCCGACTGTTGTTAAGATCTTAAAGTTACATAGCGAATTTAAAATTTTAATAGATAGTCATCGAGGTTACCTGTTTACAATATTGGAATTACGCATATTTGTAATGATACCGCTTGAATATCTTTTTCCGATGGCCATCGTGGCGTAAAAATCCCAAAGTCGATTGATATCACTACGACGATTCATACGACAAAAATTTAATCACAAACTTACAACAGAACCGCCAAGTATGAAAGCAACGCCCAGTCTGATGTAGCCCGGTTGCCACGTATACAATTATATATATTATAGGAATCTTTGTAATTCATGTGCCTCGTGTTCTTACTGTTCTTCGAAGTGTGTCGTTATGATGTTTTTGAAGCGACACAAAAAGAAGTTCGCCGCGTTATTGATCTTCTTAATATTTTCGTTTCATTCTATGCTACCGTATATTTTTAACAACTTTGAACGCGAATCCACTTCGACAAGACCGCCAAGAGCGATTAATTCTTCTTCTATGAAGTTAAAAACGAACGAAGTCTCATTAAATGCCGCAAAACCAAATAAATCACGGATTGACATGGTCAACGACTATTATCCTTTTGTGGATTTTAGATTCGTTTATCCTGACATTTCGCCGAAAGTTGACGAAACGCGGAAAATATTTATGATAATATTAGTCAATTCTGGCGCAAAGGGAATCAAATTCCGCCAACGCCGCGAAGCTATTCGTCAAACATGGGGAAGTACGGGTAATTGCGAACAACTTAAAGCATTGGGAGATGGAAGACTGAAAGATCTAAGATGGTTGTTGGCATTGGTTGTTGGAAAAGCAGGACCGGGAACACGTGACGATGAATTAAATGAAGCTGAAGCCAGACGGTACAATGATATGTTGATAGGCAATATCACTGACAATTACATTAATAACATTATTAAATTCTACATGGGTCATCTTTGGGCGAACAAATTTGATGTCAAATATACAATGAAAACAGACGATGATGTTTATGTGCGTATACCTCGCGTGTTGGAGTATCTTGTGAATGCTAAACTTCCAAGACCCTTCTACGGAGGTTCTTCCCTGGCACCCAGCCATGTAAGTCGTACAATGTTTGCAAAATGGGCAATTAGTTACAAGTACTATGAAGAAGCACTATACCCAGCGTTTAATCTCGGGGCATTTTTTATCTTATCCACTGATCTTCTAAACAAATTGTTTAACTATGTCTGTATACGAAAACCATTCCACACAGATGATGCGTACGTTGGGGTTGCCATGCGAGATTTTGGAGTAAAGCCGACTAACATTACTTCGTTTCATTTAATAAAGAGAATGCGAAGGTATATGGGATCTTTCAAAGACTGTGAGATCTTCAATTGGAATGCCTTCGGGCATTCTTTGGATCCACGATCAATGAAAGAACTTCATCTTCGCGTGCAGACTCTTGTGTGTAAGAATACCACTTTGGGTATTGAGGATCATCGTTGCAGAAAATTCGCAGTTAACAACGACATCAACAAGAGGGCGGTTTCGATAAGTCTGCGAACAAAGACGTAAATAAGACACGAAACGTGTATATGTATATAATTATACACACAATTATATATGTTGTATAATTATATATTAATTATATATTAAAATATTTAAGAGAATTGATAACTCAGTTCTTTTTTTAGCCTACGCGTAGACTCAACTTAAGTTATAAGTAGAGTCTACGCATCAGCGTTAAAAAGCTTGTTCAATCACGTGGATTTCCCCACAAATGCGGGGAACGCTTGTGATTGGTCAGTATCCTGAATATTTATCAACTGACCAATCACAAGCGTTCCCCACATTATACTGACCAATCACAAGCGTTCCCCACATTTGTGGGGAAATCCACGTGATTGAACAAGCTTTTTAACGCTGATGCGTAGACTCTACTTATAACTTAAGTTGAGTCTACGCGTAGGCTATTCTTTTTTATGAAATAATATATATAGTCTGCGTTAAATATTGCTAAGGACATCTATTTATTATATCTCCACCAATTTTTCGTGCTTATTGGTTATTACCTAATAAATAACTATAACTTAAATAATGTCGATTGAGATACATTTCAAACACTCTGTTAGAATGAAAAGGCCAACGCCATCCAGCTCTTGGATTTCAAGTCGGATATATTTTGTATTTGATGCAAGATTTTGCAAGATTTCACTTTGAATTTTGAAGGTTTCAATCGTTGGAGAAGTTTTAAAAGTGCTATACTCTATATAATAGAATTTTTAAAATAGGACTGGTATACCAGACCTTTCTGAGTTCTCAATCGAAATGAAAAAAAAAATCATTTTTGATCTTCAGTTTAAACTCGAGTCCCATTAGTTAGCTAACATTCACCGAAGGCGTTATTTCGCGTTAAACGAACGTAAGTAAAATCAGTGATGTAAATTTCTAACGTATGAAGTTGAACTGTGATTGGCAGCGTTTGTAACACATGTAAATGTTTCATAATAATTATGCGCATTGACAGAATATATATTATATAATTGCGGCCCCGACAACGTAAAAAAGCCAATAAAAGTTTGTAGCTATCCCCTTTATATGGAGTTATATAATATAAAACTCGCTTTATACCTTAACCCCCTGTGAAATATCGATTTGTTATCGCTACATGTACACATAGTAATATCATTCGATTCACGATCAGGGGCCCGGTTGTTCCAGATTTAAGAATTCCAAAATGCACAGTACTTTTGCCCTTTGGGAATTATTGTCAGGCAAATTCGTGACAATATACAGTCCACATGCAAGAGATTGTAATATAGCCGCCAGTTCGACGTTTGACATTTCGAATTTTAGTTATTATAGGAAGATGATGGCATGGCATCAAGCGTGGTAATCTTACTGTTCTTACAGGGAATGAGCCACATGTGGGTCCAGAGTTATAACATCTCATGCATGCATCAAATTGCATGCAAGCGTTTCTCCAAGCTGGCAACTTTCGTGCGAATAAATCAAGCCGAACGTTATTAAACGTTTGTCCAATAAGAGCTTGCTATTCTACGGATTCAGCGCTGTTAGCGAATAGGAAACTGTATTTTAACGATTGTTTCATTCAGTAATGACTAATAAATTCCATGTTTACATACCGACGGAGTACCTAAGCAAGCGTTTCTTCAAGCTGGCAACTTTCGTGCAAACAAATTAAGCTGAACGTTATTAAACGTTTGTCCAATAAGAGCTTGCTATTCTACGGATTTAGCGCTGTTAGCTAATGGGAGACTGTATTATATAGTTAACGATCACCGAAGGCGTTAAACGAACGCAAAGTCTCATTACTGAACCAAACATAGCGAAATGAAAGCACAATAAATTCTTCAGAATTTGCACATTCTACAGTATAAACGATAGGTGCATATGAACATTTGCATATTATTACAAATGCTGCCAATCAGAATTTGACTTCATACGAAATTTACATAACTGAATTTACGTTCGTTTAACACCTCCGGTAAATTTTAACTATTTTAACGATTGTTTCATTCAGTGATGAAACTCTGCGTTCGTTTAACGCCTTCTGTGAATGTTAACTATTATCAGACCTTTCCGCATTCTCATTCGAAATGGAAAATTTTGTAATTTTCTAGCTCCTCTTCTTTTACACAGAGTGTATGAATTAATTGTTAATTGAAATGCATAGGGTGCACCAGTAACATAAAAGATCTCAATATGATAATTAATATCGTAAAGACAACATGCCGACAAAAACCTTTATGCGTTATTGCATGTATGGCGTCCTACTTGCATGTATACACAATTAATGAAAATTAACGTAACAATAAAATACACATTGCCACCCTTGCACTTGTCAGCTACCTTGGTAGCTCAGTAGCACGAGCATTGCACCAGCATCACACCAGGTTCGATTCCTGCCGGAAGACTTACAGTTGACTCATTTTTGTATCAACTGTTCCTGCCTTGAATTTAAAGTGTGTATAATTCCACTCAAAATTAAGACCCTTTCAACCTCTAGAATTTAGCTGCATCGAGTGAAGTGCCAAAATCATAATTGATTTACCCTCACCTATTTCCGGCATTACCACCATATACACTTAACCAGGCTTGCTCTTGTCAGCTACCTCTGTAGCTCATTCCCAAGAGAATTGCACTGGCATTGCAAAAGCGTAGGTTCAATTCCTGCCGCAGGACCGATAGTTGACTCATTTTTCCATCAACTGTTCCCGTCTTGAATTTGAAGTGTGTATAATTCCACTCAAAATTAAGACTCTTTCAACCTCTAGAATTTACCTGCATCGAGTGAAGTGCCAAAAATCACAATCAATTTACTAACAATAAAATATGAAAACAATATTTGGCTACCCAACTCTAAAGCATTATAACTAATTCTAATGCATACAAAGGGTTGTAAACATTAAACTCTCAAGCTTCACTTTTGACTCTAACGACTCCTCTATATGTCGGGCATCATGCTGTAGATATCTTTCAAAAAATTGACTTATACATGTTTGTTGCATCATGCATGTTTCGAACCAAAGTTAAAAGCAACAAATTAATTTGTATTCATACATATTTCAATATCACAATTCAATACGAACCCGACTTGTTTCTCGAGGAGCAAGAAATTATCGAAACCGACCTCTTGTTGATGTCGTTGTTTTGGTAGTGGGTTTTCTGCAACGATGATCCTCAATATCCAAAGTGGTATTCTTGCACACAAGAGTCTGCACGCGAAGATGAAGTTCTTTTATTGATCGTGGATCCAAAGAATGCCCGAAAGCATTCCAACTGAAGATCTCACAGTCTTTGAAAGATCCCATATACCTTCGCATCCTGCTTATTAAATGAAACGAGGTAATGTTAGTCGGCTTCATCTCAAAATCTCGCATGGCAACCCCAACGTACGCATCATCTGTGTGGAATGGTTTTCGTATACGAACATAGTAAAACAATTTTTTTAGAAGATCAGTGGATGAGATAGAAAGTGCCCCAGAAATATACGTTGGGAACCGCGTTTCTTGATAGTACTTGTAACTAATTGCCCATTTGCTACCAACTCTACGAATTACACGGCTATGTGAGTTAGACGAACCTCCGTAGAAGGGTCTCGTCTGGGTCTCGAAAGTTTAGCATTCACAAGATACTCGAACACGCGAGGTATACGCACATAAAAATCATCGTCTGTTTTCAATGTATATTCAACCCATATAGAATTTGATAATGTTATTAATGTAGTTGTCAGTGATATTGCCTATCAACATATCATTGTATCTTCTGGCCTCAGCTTCATTTAATTGATCGTCACGTGTTCCCGTCCTGCTTTTCCAACAACAAACAGTAACAACCATCTCAGGTCATTCAGTCTTTCATCTCCCAATGCTTTAAGTTGTTCGCAATTACTCGTACTTCCCCATGTTTGACGGATAGCTTGGCGACGTTGGCGGTACTTGATCCCCTTTGCGCCAGAATTGACTAATATTATCATAAATATGTTCCGCGTTAGGTCAACTTTCGGCGAAATGTCGGGATAAACGAATCTAAAATCCAGAAAAGGATAATAGTCGTTGACAATGTCAATCGGCGATTTTTTTGGTTTTGCGGCATTTAATGAGACTTCGTTCGTCTTTAACTTCATAGAAGAAGAATTAATCGCACTTGGCGGTCTTGTCGAAGTGGATTCGCGTTCAAAATTGTTGAAAATATACGATAGCATAGAAAGATACGAAAATATTAAGAAGATCAATAACACGAACTTCTTTTTGTGTCGCTTCAAAGCCATCATAACGACACACTTGCAACAACAGCAAGCAAACTAGGCATATGAATTACAAAGATTCCTTTACATTATTGTATACGTTGCAACGTGGCCATATCAGATTTTGCGTGGCGTTGATATCTGGCAGGTTTTGTTTCTCAATTTAAGCGGTGCATGTGATTACAAATATGCGAAATACCAATATTGTATACAGGTAAGGTCGATGACTATCGATTAAAATTTTAAATTCGCTATATGTAACTGCAATAGTTATATTGTTAAGATCTTGATAACAGTCAGCATGATATCCTTTAATAACTAAGGCCCCATTTACACGAGCCCGGGCTGGTGCGCCACAGGTGGTTATATTTTTATCGTGTTTACACGGACCCGGGTTGAAGACCATTCTCGCCAACCCGGGTCAGCAATTCCCAACCCGGGCTGGCTAGGTAATATTTCCGAGTGATAGCCTGGAGCAGAGTGTAAATTGGCAGACAATGACGACAACACTGGCGATAAACGAAGGAAAGTTATTGCTTCTACCTCAGCAGTTTTGCTTCTGCTTTTAGCAGCCATTCAAATGCACGGTGTGATGCTGTTGTTATATCTACAACAACATCCGAGTTGAAGTTGACGTTTTTGTAGTCCATCTTCGACTTATATTGTTTTAAACACAATATCAAATGTTCGAGCATTTTGGGCGACCACTGAAACTGAGGCTGTTGCGGTTTTTTTGAGACATTTTTGTCCGTTCGAGCGGTCTTACTTTTGCTTGCCATACTAGCGGGGAGAAGTTACGCGCGCTCAATGCAATATGAT